TGCTGCAGACCACTGCCTCATAGTAATGTGGCCCCATTTACACCTAAACCATATTACACCTAGAAACCAGCAATTCCCATAGCATATGATCATGAAAGTGCTAGACATATAGCCAGAGGCATTGTCTGGCTGTGAGGGACCTGGTCCCCCTTCAAAAGTTCAAATTCAGGCAGCTTTCTGCCTGGTTGTAGGAACATACAAAATTTTTTTACTCATTCTCACCATACACTTCCTAAAAGCCACTGTGCAAGTGGCCGCTTCAGCAAGAGCACAACTCTGATCAGCTCTGGAAGCAGCAACAATGCCAACCTACACCTGCACAGCTACTCCAGAGCTGCTGACAGACACACCAGGCTAGAACTGAACAGGAAAATATTCATGAGATAGAGAAGCTGAGCCTGCCAGCCATACCCCAGAATGAACAGCTCACTGGCTCGGGCACTCACTCAGGAGGTACATATTATGTGTCTACAGGAAAATAATAAATAAAATCATATCCACTCTACCCAACCTGGAAAGGACCATTCTACCACGTTTAAGAAAAATGGCATGTGTACAAGACTGGCTCAACATCTCCATCTTGCTCTCTGGAACAGAGATCACACAAGGTGGACATGGGAAAAAAGAATTCTTTAGCATTTTCTTAGGAAACCATAAACCAACAGAGCTGGGCTCAAGGCTCTGCTCCAGGTATTTATGGAAGTGTTTCCACTCCCTTTGCATTTCAGACAAAAGAAGGATCTCCACTCCTGAATAATGCAATATGCTGATGCTTAGGGTGCTCAAGTGAACAGCAGGAGGCCCAAGTTCATGTTCTTGACTTCAATCAGGCAAAGTACAAACATCAAATTCAGACTGCTTATTTCCTGCGACCACAGAACTCAACACATCTGGGACCTTTCTGCTTCTGACCTGCATAACCATTGAAGAAAACTTAAGCAAATTTTGTATGTATGCACTGGATGAGGTGTTAAGTTTTTTTGTTTGTTTGGTTGGTTGTTTTAATTTTTTGGTGTTGGTTGGTTGGTTTGTTGTTGTTGTTTTATTTTCCTTTTTTCCCCTAAAGAATTGCCATTTTCTCAGATGCTTGAAACAGAGTTCCTGTTCATAACAGTATAGCATTAGCTGGGCTAATTAGTGGAGCCCAACACAGCTGCAGGAGTTCACTCATGTGTTTTATAAACTATGTATGGGCTAGAATTAGCTTATTAAAGAATTCCTCAAGAACTCTATGCATGTGGACAGTAATCCAGCTGTTGCAGCTATTTGCATTACTCTGGTACTTTGCTGACCCTGCAGCACAGCACTGAGCTCCCCAGGTCTGACCAAGACATTCAGAGAATCTGAGTGGGTGAAAATTAGAGAAAGCATCAGGCCTAAAGGGCACCTCTGTCAATAGTAGTGCCTGTAAAAAGGAGATGAAAGCTCACTGACATGGATTATTTTAACTCAATGCAGTCATAACAACAATCCTGTCTTGTTCTTGTCTGCAATAAATTAACTGCAAATGAAAGCAGCCCAAGACTTTAGTAATATCAGGCCACATCAACTTCTGATGGCCACAGTAAGCAAGAGATATGTTCAGTAGGATGTGACAATGCAGGAAAGTACAAGATTTCAGAAGTGGACTTAACTGCATTTATCTGCTTTAAATATTGGAGGAATAGTGATTTTCTAGCTACCAAGTGATGTGGGTTATAAACAGAGACAAGGATCAATTTTCAGTTACTTATTCTATTATGAAACTTGCGGTGAAAAAATCCACTGCAAACAGATTGGAGAAAAAAAGGCCCAGAATTAAGTCATCCTTCCCAATTATTATTCCAACTGAGACAGGCTGTATTACAGAACATACTGCAAACAACTGATATGTCCATGGTCAAAACCTGTGCTCTTCCATTCTCAAGGCAGCTGTATCTTTCTGGACATGCTTTGTCTGCAAGACAGCTGCTTCTAAACAACTTGGTGTCATCTCCACTGAGCCACTCACCTTGGAGAAGACTTGCCAGCTTTGGTAAGACAATAACTTGAGAGCTGGAAAAATCTCAGATGAACTTTGGTTAACAGATCTCATATTCTCCTGCACCTCTGAAAGCAGCCCAGATAAGCCTTGGGCTTGCTGCTTCAGAGGAAGAGTCAGCTTTGACTTTCTCACAAACAGGTTGGCTTGACGTTAATGCTTTAAACAGAGCTGAAATAAGCAAATACAGTCTGTGAGACTGTAGAAATAAAAGAATTTCTTTAAAGTTCAATAATTTCTTTAAAGATCAGGGAGGGTTTTTCTTTCCCACTAAGGTTTTCTGGAAATGAACTGTACAAGGTGGCCTAGCAAATTTCCTACCATAACAAGCTGAATGGTAAGTAAATAGTGACTAACAGGGTAGTTCAATATTTACACAACCTTTTTGTTTCTAAGTAAATGGTAGATTATTAGAAAGGGTGAAATCTCTTAATATAAACTTGTAATGTTTTCCACTGAACTGCTTACTCCTCTCCCAGAAACAGGGAGTGACAATCAATCAGAAGAACACACCAACACTCACAAGGAAATTGCCCGCACACAGCACAGTGAACAACCCAGTGTAGGTGGGAGAGAGCAATGCATGGAATCAAGGACAAAGCAAAGCAACCTGCACAGAGCAGCTCTTCTCACTGTTGGCTGCCCGCAGGAGACATGTTGCTGCTTGCTTGCTTGCTTTTCTTTGGTCTTTACCAGGCAATGGAGCTGCCTACTGCTGATAACACTTGTTTATGTGAGAAGGTGAGCGCACCGCTTCAGAAGCTGCAGTTCTTGTGTGCACTGAAATTTCCTGTGAACAAAAGGTTAAGATCACAGCCTGCCTTCCCCCTCCTGCTTGTCAGAAACTAGAAATAACAAGCATACAGACAGCTTGGGAGGCTGTCTTTGGGAAAACCACAGCAATCCTTTATGTCCAGAGCCTGTACAGGAACATGCAAGGAGGTTGGATTAGATGACCTCCAGTGGCCTCTTCCAACCTTACTATTCTGTGATTCTGCAACACCAAGTCTGGGAGCTTTTATTCTGCTTCTGAAAACAAACCAAAGAACCAGATAATGAAACACAAGACATTTGAGAAAACACTGGGAAGTGATGACAATGTCAAAGGAGAGTAGAGATGCTCATTCACCAGAAGTGACAGATGAGAAAATTTTCCAATGTAAAAAACTTTTCAAAAACAAAGCGAAAAAGTTTTGACTCAGCAACCTGAAGATTTTGGCTAAAACCCAGCATTTATAATATGATGTTACCAAGGAGAACACTCCCATAGTGATCTTCATTGCAGTGTTGTAAAATATAATCAGTACAGAATTATTTTTTCAATAAGGTAACAATGTATCAGAGCTTGATCTTATTGCCACTTTTGCTTGTATTTGCGAACACCCCTTTGCCTTCCAGCCATCTTACATGCTTCTTAAACACTACACCTTATGCTTATTCCAAGTTCTCACTTGGCAAAGCAGACTCAGAGTGGGCAGACAGCCAATGGCACACAGTAGTGGTAAGACAATGTTTCAGGTTGTGTTCTTCACTCTCCCTCCCGTACCTTTCTCTCTCAGCATCCCTTCTGAAGTGCTCCTCTACTATCAACATGTTTTAACCGGACATCTTCCTACTTTCCCCAGCCACCAGGGAGCTGTGCATATGAAATATTTATTCTGAGGCCAGTGATCTACAGCAGAGTACGGCTAGAGTTGGATTGAAAGCAAAAATCTCCAGTTCCTTAAAATAAACTAACTCTTCCTCAGTACTGGGCTTGAAAGCCTTTGAAAGTTACTGGGGTTAAAAGAAGCATCTCTTTCTGTTGTCAGCACTGCAAAGCACATGCACATAATTTTTATGTCCTTTATAGGTGGTTTGTTTTCCCTTCACACACTGACTCCTCTCACCTTGTTGCTAGGGAAGCAAATACAATTCCACCAATTCCAACATGCCAGAACTGAGATGACTCACTAGATACTCCATTGAAAACAGCGCCCGGTTAAGAAAGGACTCTGTCCACACGAACAGTACTCCAGTTCATGGCAGTCAGAGCTATGCTCTTGCCCAGGTTCTGATTGCCACACTTGGAGACCAAGTTCTCTGAAGCTCTCCATTACATGCACAACTCTGTCAAATACATCTACCCATATTAAATTTTAAATATTAACAGCAGAGTGGTGAAAAACCAATCCTGATCTCCAATCCCAACCTGTTTTAAGCTTTGGGCTAAGAAAACTGCTTAAAAAGCAGTTTTTAGACTTTACCAAGTGTTGCTGTTAACACAAATCAGTTACGTTATCCATAGTTCCGCTATTTTCTGTTTGGCCTACTGCTTCTCAAAAGTAAGAGCACAGAGGAAGGGGAGGGCATAGTAAAGATACATTCCAACACTCAGAGCCATATTTTAATAATAATAATAATAATGCATCTCTATATGTTAAGATCACAGAAAGACATGTTTCAATGCCTGATCTTTATTAGCCCTTGGTTAGAATGAGGCCTACAGCACAATACCTGTCCCTTGCCAAACAATCACATATCAATAGAGTGATGATACTGTGTTATTCAGTTCTATTCTTTAAAAAAACCCACAAAATTGAATATCACCATGGGAATAGTCTAAAGTTTATTTTGGAAAGAGGCTCATTTCCTATAGCTTTTCTGTTGGCATAAAAATAATGTCACTGAACTGTATCAGAAGCAAGTGCTTTATGAAGTATCATCTTTAAAGATACCAGCCAGTTCTGAAAATATCCTCCCTAATGGTTGCATTTCTTTAGTTTCTGAAGCAGAATAAAGGGCCCAGAAAGGCTTCTTCCCTGTTTTCCTCAACAAGAAACACACCCCAAGGTACCACCAGTGTGATCTAATTCCACCCTTCTTCAGCCTGCAATGTGTAGTAAGTGTCAATATGGAAAACTTCCTCCTTAGATTAAACCTTAGAGCAGTCATCCTGGTTGGCTGGCTGAACAAATGACACGTGTTCACACAAGAATAATTCAGTCAACCATCTTAATAAGGATTTACTTTAAACAGAACCTTGTATGGGTACACTAGACTCAGTCTCATTAAGGAGCAAGTTGGATTTTTACACAGCATGAACCACTGGCAATCTAAAACAGACCCACTTGAATGGAATGGAGAATCAAACACAATGTTTCAGACCCAAGCTCTATGTGCCTTTAATACTTTCACTTTCCTTTTCTTTCTGAGAGAGTGCACACTACGACAGACATTTGCATTTATCATGTTTTTAACTTCTTTTCTAAGGATGAACTCTCTGAATCTGCGTCTTCCAACTCCGCTCTGTGCCTTTTCAGTCCTCCAAGAGATTGAGTGCTCTCACTGCCTGCAGGATGCAAGTCAGCAGTATCCTCTCTTGTGCTCACATTGTAGCTGTTGGAGTCCATTTCAGACAGGCAGCAGTCTTTGTGCAAGGTCACACCCACCTGTACAAGGTTGCCGTTATCAGCATTTGAGTGCACCTGTAGTCCTTGCGTCACAGTCTCCTGCTCTCCAAAACTCTGTCCGTTGTTGAAGTGTGAAGGGTGAAGATGCAAGTGGCCATTATTGTAGTTAACACAGGAGGGGTCAAGGCTCCTCTCCTCACTGTCATCAGTCTGGTTTCTGGAGCAGTGACCTGACATGCTACAGATCGTGACAGCAGAGAAGGGAGGGGCCAGTGAGTGATGGCTTGATGCTGGTTGACAGTTCTGACTATTTTTCTGTTCCACAAGTCCTGCAGGTTCTTCGGTACAACTATTTAGCCCTTTGCAGTTAGCTTTTCCATTGAGCTTTTTAGTCTCAAAAGAATGCTCTGTACCTCCACTGCTAGTGTCTTCAGACGTGTTTTCTTGACCCTCCATTCGTCGCTGATTGTCACATTCATAAGCTTGACCATTACTAGAATTTTCTATCACACCACATTCTTTTGAAGTTTCTCTGTTGTGGCTTTCAGCAGAAAGAGCTGAGGAACCTTGAGGAATTACTGAACTTAAGTTCCTACAATCTTCCTTAGTTAGCGAGCGTGATGCACTGTGCCTTCCACTGGTTCCCGGTTTCCCTTCATCGTTCTCTCCATCTCCTCTGGAGGATTCACCATCTTTACTAGCTGAATATGATATGTAAGAATAATGAAGCCATTTGTAAGCTTTGTAAATCTTTCTCTCCACTGATTCACTGTCTGAACAAGGAGACGTCCTTTCTTTGAGAACTTCTTTGTTGGCCGAACTCCTTTCTGGTGAAGAAGCTGGGGAAGAAGAAAGATCATCTACTTTGATCTGGGGGTAATCATATATGTCCTCCCCTATGTAGGGAGTTACATTCTCCGTGTTAGTGCTAGTCCTTTCCTCCTTTTGCACCTTCTGGCGCCGCCTCAGGGCATTGCGTTGCCTCATGGATGTGCGTCTTTCATTCAGTTCCTCTTCATCTTCTGTACTGCTGCTGCTGCTGGAACTGCTGGATTCGTTCTCCGGACTCGGGGACGGTGGCCGTGGGAAAAGGTCTGTATCTAGTTCTGCCTCACAGGTATTGTCATCAGAGTCAGACTCATTGGAAAGGGCCAGGAGACGTTTATCCTGATACTTTCTCAGTGCAGACAGCCTCTGCTGACGGGAAGCTACGTCTTCTCTGGCTGAGGGGGATGCAGTCGATCTTAAGGCCCTTAAGTTATAGGCAGTTTCATCAGACTCTTCAGCCACATGCGGTGGGGAGTGATGCAAAGAGGTGGAGGACTCTGACTCGCTGTAAGCGGAGCGTTCACTTACTCCTGCATGGAGCTGTAGGATTGTGCTCTCACTGAGGTCACTGTCTGAATCAGAACTCCAGCCCTCGATCTCCCGGCGCACAAGAGAGTCAAAAAAGGCCATCATCCGTGGGTCTTCCTGGACTGACTGGTTGGCATAATCGTGGGACAAACCACTACCACTGTTCAACACAAGACTGATGTACTCTTCATGAGTGTAGAGGCAACGTGAATCATCCTCAATTCTACCATCCAGGTCCCCTGTGCAGTCAGGCTGCTTGTAGGGACTCCAGATCTGGAATGGAAAACAAAACATGTATCATTGAATCCATAAACTCTTATAAGCATTTGAAATGAAACAATACTCGAATACCCAGAACAACTGCAAGTTGCAGATTGTCTTTACTAATTTTCACCCCTCAGACCCATACTTACAAGTATTGCAGAGATGTGGTATTTTTGCTTCTCCTTTACAAAAGTGTTTTTCCTGCATTTACTTCACCCATCCAGAATCTAAAAGCTCTCAGACTGCAAATTATCCATCATTTCAGTAATTCATCGTGTAATGATTTCTCCCAAACTGCAGGGCTGTATTTTTATATAATGGGGAATGCTTATTCACCAACAGTAAGAATAGTTTGTTGCCTACAATACAATCTTAGCACTAATGAAGGCACTTGTTTCCCAGGAAACTAGAGTTGCTTGTGTGGTGTAGAGTAATATTTCATCCAGCTGCATGGTCAGTCACACCTGATCAGCAGGCAAGGAGCTGAATGTATGAGGATGAAAAGCAGAGCTGCACTACTCCCTTTAGGGAACAGTTATGAAGAAAAGAAAGCATCCAACATCCTCTGAAGACTCAGCAGTAGTTTCAATGGGGAGAGGTGAAGAGGAGTTTTCCTGAAAGCTACTTTTGAAGAGTAATGATTTCACCAATAGCAACAGTCTTGACTGTGCTGTCCATCTAGCCTTCTCTCACTTTTCCTAGTGTGGAGAAGGAAGAAAATAAAGGCTCACAAGAAGATCCAGCAATATCCCTAAGAAAATGGTAATCCATAGCAAAACTAGTAGTTAGTTGGATCTCCTCACCTTTCTGGTTTGCTCACAGATTTGGGGGCAATGTGATTACGGCATTCCATGGACAACCACTATCTCTTCGGTCTGGATGAATGGTTAATTGGATGAACAATGCCTTACCATAAGCAGAGCCATCATGTAGCTTAATGTTCTGCTTATAAAATATCTGATTTCAGTCATGCTTTAGTTTTACCATGCTAACAAACTCAGAGAAAAAAAAAATCTATGCCAGCTGTCTATACCAGGTTGGCCTTTTGGGATAAACTTTGGTGAAAACATCAAACTCTTTTCCCAACAGAAATTAATCAAGTTTTGTTCCAAGTAGACAAAGCTGTTAACAAAAAGAATATTTTTCTTGTGTAAATGGGATAATCGGCACTCATCTTACAGATGCCTAGTTAACAAATGCAATGTAATCTTATACTACTACGACAAGCAGTATAAAAAAAGCCCACAAGGCATTATGGATTCACTGAGATTTTCAACAGCGTGCAGTAAAACCTTGCACCTTTAATAATGAAAGCAAAATGAAATAAATTATCTTGCAACTACTTGTCCAGCACAGCCCAATTTAAGATGTACAAGTAAACTTCATTCTAGAATTCTCCCAAACCTGAAAGCCTTCTTCTGCAGACAATCATCAAGCTGCCTTTCAGAGCAAAGGTAAAGGAATCTTATATTGCATCAATCTGTTCCTAAGTACATGCCTCAATATCAAAGTGTATTTGGTATTGGTACTTAATTGCTATTTTTATTATTTGCAATAGTTAAGCAAATTGTCTTCCAATACAGTTCATTAATGTGACATTTGAAACCCGAATGAAGACAGTTCCTGATGCTTGGTTAAGCACAGCACTTAGGAGACATAAAGCTCAAGGAACAAGCATCAGGTCTGGATGAAGATAACAAAACCCACTCTAAGTCTACTATGTACAGAATTCCATAAACAATACCTAACCATTTCTTTGAACTATTCAAAAGTACGGAAAGAATCTTTCTTCATCCTTTATTTCCCAGGCTCCAATTTTTTAAAGTCAATGTAGGAAAGAGCCTTCTGTCAGTGGATTCAAGAGAGAGATTGCTGATTTGTGGACACACCAAGGTTTTGAACAGAAAAACAGAACTCTACTGCTCAAAGGACTACCCTTGAGATGCTGCCTTACTGATGAGTTATTTAGCATATGTTCAGTACCTTCTCTCACAACCAGTCAGATCTTTTCCACCTTTGCCCCACTACTGAGCATATCAGTAAGTAGATCAGATCTTTTTGTGTTTAACAGCATATACCTTCTTGTAGATGCTTCATATTGTGTGCTTGGACAGACAGGCTGGCACGCTACTTCCTAAAATAGCAGCATTAGATTGATCACTAAGTTTTGTTAAACCTTTTTTAAGCAAGAGAATTAGATTCTCTATGAACCAATATAAATGAAGAGCAGGAGTCTGCTCTGAAGTCCCTCTGGGAAAGGTCTGTTTTGTAATGAAGTCCATCTAAAAAGGTACATAAATTGTGCCCAGAGATATTCTATATCTTAGTTAGCACTATCACATCTTTCTGCTCCCTCTGTGAGCATCAGAGAAAACAGAGCAGTGTTAAATATTGAAAAGATATTACAAAGAGTCCATAGTGAGGCTTTTCCCTTGCAAGATAGATTTGTTCACAGAGAAGGATAAATAAGGAGTAAATAATAAAGAGAAGTCAAGAGAATTCTGGATGAATGCCTTTGTGTACAAGATCAGCTGCCTCTGCAGAGACAACCCTTACAATTTAGATATTTTGCTCTGAGGGAGTGCAAAGGCCTGCCAGAGTCCCAAAAGGAAACCAGACTAAGAATCTATCCTTGGCAGAACTGGAAGGTCTTTAAACTGACATCAACTGATGCAGTGCTCTTTGTGCATCTGAAATGGGCTCCATTGTAAATGGAATGCCTTTGTCTTTTTCTCATCCTCTGACTGATGCCATGTTGAGGAAGAATGTGAACAAATTGGTGAAAATAAGCTGGCAAATCATCCCACTGAAGCAACAATCTATCAAGTTCTTTCTCTGTCAGAAGATTAAGGAGCTGAACATGGACTGACTGAGGACCTGAGTACGGATATAAAAATAGGAACAATAACAGAAAAGGGGAATACAAAACTGGTTCTCTACTTCAGTAGAGATGCTTCAGACAGCATCTTTGAATTTTTTGTATTCCATGGTGGCAAAACCCCAAATTTTAAAACAAAAAAGTAGTTATGCCTGTAGCGTGAGAATAATTAAAACCAGCTATACTAGATTATCTGATTAGGCAGAGGCAGCTAGTCACAATGATATCAATCTGTCGCCATAGCAACATGTTCAAATAGACTTTGTTATCTCTGAGATACTCATGATTTTTAAACAAATGGGACCTACAACATCTAAGCTCAGTTACACAGTATTGCATTTCCAATACAGAACAGAATTTCTTTTTTAAAACAGTTATGCACTTCATCCATTTTATCTTTCCTGGAACTGTCTTCTAACTGCAGAATTCTCTGTGTCCTTCCTCTAAGCCCCATACATCAAAACGAATGCCTCATTCATTTCACCTGCAATTCAATCTGTTTTTCTGCCAGCACATCCCAATGTCTTGCACAGTTAATTGAGGGGAAAGTCGTATTTTTCTATTTTATATTGCTTTCGCCCATCGTGGTGAATACTCACTGCAAATGTTAATTTTAGTTCACAGCTGTGCTTTTTCATACAATTTTACTGAGGTCCAAGTTTCTGAAATGGAGGGCAATGAGCAATTCATCTGCGTTGATATGTCCAGAACACACTGTCTGGATCAAAGCTCTAGTGTCCTTTATTAATGAGCTTGTTGAGTCTTATTTTTGGTCCTAGCAGAAATCACCGAGTTACTGAATTGTATTCTTGTGGGTGCTTTAAAACAAAACAAAACTAAAGCAAAAAAAGCACAACCACAATAATCAAAACCATTCTTGTGAATACTACTCTTTTCTACAGGGCTAGACCTGAGATGAATTTGTATCTCATCTGCAATCAGAATTAAAATAGCAAGTGTGTTGGCAGAAGCACATGAAATTGGTGAATGGCTTGTCTGTATTATGCCTTCATGCTGGTGCTATTAGTTTCTCCCTTCTTGAATTACTAAATTTAGGCCAGTTAGTCTAAAAATTAAGGGTTCAGACAAATAAGTACTTGCATCCACATTTTTAATTAATCCCAAAGTTTCTATAATTGAGGAAATAGAATATCAACCAACCACAGTGAAGTTATCTTTTGTGATTTAATTTCACAAAGGGTTTTAGAAGACACTTAAAGGATAGTAAAAAGAAGGACACTTCTTAAGAAACTGATTAGAGGAAACAAAAAAAAACCCAAACAAAAATGAACAAAATAAGAAAACATAAAAAACCTAACTACTATTTTTATTTATGGCTCTTCTTGTCATCTCAAATTCTATTAGCAAGCACATCAAGAATTTGTATGGGGGAAAGAAAGACAGCCATGCTAGTGAAGGACTTGTCTTCCCAGCTGTTTTTAATGCAGTAAGTGTCCCCTCAAAACTCCTGGTTATGTTTTTCCTGTTTTGCACTTCTTCTAATGGCAGTTACTAGTCTCCAGCCTACCTACAGAAGCAGCTGGAATAAAGAAGAAATCACCATTGTATGGTCACCCACAAACTGCTGTTCACTACAGCAGTACCTTTAAAGACTGAACTCATGCAGATCAGACAAGAGATGAGCATTAAAACCACCTGATCCCCAAACAAGGTACATTGCAAGCTGAGACAAAAGCACATACAATAAAAGGGTAAGAAGTTCTGGCTCACTAATAAACTTAATATGTTAAACACCTTTCCCTTAATTTGTTTCTCGTTTGCAATGTTTGGGGAATTCAGTTGCTTCAAAGCAGCTACAAGAGTTCCACTGCACATACTGAGACACAACAGGCGTTCTCTTCTAAGGAAGCATTGAAGCAGAGGTGTCTTTGAAAGAGTTACACAACCTGTGACTGGAGCCTTAATCGAAATAACCTTTTAATCACTAGGCAAAAAAATGCCCTGCCAAAACCCTAGCAGAAGTACACAAAAGGAACACAGGGGATGTTTATACCAATGCTAATCCAACAGTCTAAGCACACTCATGCAGGAAGGATTCATAGGGTGAAGGGTCAGCAGATCTAAAATTCAAAAGGGAAAATTCAGGCTGCATGAATCAAGGTCCCAAAACAAAAAAAATGCCTCTGGTAAAACTGTTGTTAAACAGTGGCAGTTTGACTGCTTAGAAACTGAAAAATCAGTGAGCTGCTAAGACTGTTCAATGTACTTTTGTTCAAAGCCTGTATTTAACAGATTTGTGATCAAACCTGTCAGGCAGACACAGATGAAGAACAAAGTAGAAAAGCAAACCAAAGTACCAGTGGAAGACAGAAGAGAAGGGAAGCTGAACTACAGTCAGAACCCAAATGTTGATTCCAGCTGCAATGGCAAGTGATGCAGCTGGGCATTGGGCCACGGTTCCAGGATTTTGGGCCAGTTCTGCTCTGTAAGTTGCAGATCACTCAAACACTCCTTTGCAGGACAAGTTCACTCAGTCAACTTGTAGCTGATTATAGCATTTACTAATAATCTAACAACATTATTTACAGCCACATGCAGGTAAAATTTTCATGAAGTTTTTCAACAAATAGAAGCAGTTCTTATCCTACTTCAAAATTAAATGGGTATGGCTTCTTCCTGTTGACAGACGTAAATTATAGCAAAATATCTACGGCAGCAGAAGGCAAATTACATTAGCATAGCATAATCCTCTGCCTCCCCACCTTCAAATAACAAAAAGGTTTCTGCTTTGTTCACACAATATTGACTCTCTTTCTTTAAGGAAAGAAGTTTCAAAACTTAACAAAGTTTCTTATGTCTTTCAGTTGCACAGAAAAAGGTAAAAAAATGCCTAAAAATACTACTCTTGAAGCAGAGGAACAGAAAAGGTATATTGAACCAATTCACTGAACAAATATGTACAACAATTATAGAAGGGCTCCTGAGGCATTATTTGGGCCAAATTCAGCTGGGTTAGGCTAGGCTAAGGCTCAACAATACTCTTTGGAGATATTTTAATAAAATTTTAGACTACAGTATCAAAAATTGTAGGAGATCACATTTCACCTGTGATCAGAAGGACTGTTTTCATGATACTTCAGGTATATATGGAATTAAACTGGAGAAAAACTCGTTTTTGAAGGTACAAGGCCAGGAAATTCTGATCTTACCTCCTATCTCTGGAACCTTTAAAATTGAAATGAAGTTTAAAGGCGAAACGCCCAATTAAAAATTTGCATTGGTTTAGCCATCAAATGAGACATTTTACAAATGAATAACATAAGAAGACAGGATGGGTGTGGAAAAGAATGGCATTGAAAAAAACCAAAGCATTTCTTCCTGAAACATTGAAAGAACACATTTTTTGATAACTAATCTTACCTTTATAATCTTTTCAACACCAGAAGAACAGATCATGTAAGTGTGAGGATTAAACCGGACTTGGTTTACAATTGACCGATGACCTTTCAATACCATAAAAGCACCATTGACGACCCTGCCAATGCCACCTAGGGGAAAATAAACACACATGGACATGAATTATTAAATCTTCATATTACTTTCATCCATAATCATGTAAGATCATATTATATTTTGACAATCCACTTCAGCTTTATTTTTCTGTATTTTAAGGCCTGTGTTGGCTGCAGAATTCCAATTTTATGAGCAATGCCCCTATGAAAAGCTGCAGGTTGGCTGAAAAGCATTCTTCCTGCAAATTAGGACTTGGAGGCTCACTTTGATTCATCTAAACAAACAATGACGGTTTTTGACCTAATATGACAACTATGTGGATAAGAACAACACACATAATGAACTCACCACTGAAACTGTAGTGCCAGAGGCATGGCACTACTCACAGTTTGTAAATTTGAAAAAGAGACAAATAAAGAGGTTGACTTTTAGTAGCTATACTATTTTTCAAATTTATTTTTTAAGTCAGCAATGTATTATTGTCACAGTTGACTCTAGTCTGATGGGTAGGAGGGACCTGAAATAACACATCTGAACAGCGGGTTATATCATTCTTTGTCACAAGGCAGTGAATTAGCTGAAGTGGAATGCTTTTGTGCTGGTGGTAAAACTCAAAACAGAAAGCAATTAACTTTTCTGCTTGGTCATTGACTCTTACTTGGTCTATACACCAAAGCAGGAAACTGTCACACAGCAATTTTTTTATATTCATAGATTCACACAATTAAAACTACAAATTCATAGAAAAAACACCTGTGTATCTGAATAAACAAGCGTCCATCAACATGCTATGATTAACACCTTCAGTGAAAGAGAACAATGGGAAATAAAAACTGACAACTGGAGAAAAACCATCTTGTCATTTACAACTTAAGCAGTTCTCTTATTTGGGTACATTTGTATTTTCTGTGAAGGTTCAGATACATTCTGCCTTCAGCCACTGGAGAAAGATTTCACCAGTGTAAGTAAACTTGACCGAGAAGTAACAAATTGGAGAACAAGTTTATTAAATCACAAATTGGACTCTTTTGATTTTCTTTTCCACTTTATGAGATTTCTCATGTCCTTTCATCCTGCTCATCCTGCTAGACACTTATGGCTGATGGCAAGTTGCCCTACTCCCACAGCATTCCTTCTAGCCAGATCAGAGTTGTCAATCCAATTGTATCTGTCAAGCCAAAGTAGATGGTTACATTAAAAGATCAGTTCTCAACACATTTCACTTGACCTAGCTGACAAATGTTCCAGGAAAGAGACCTCGGGAATGAAGAGATAGTTTGCCTAGGAAATGTTTCCAAGTCTGTAAGTATCAAGTTTTAACTATCCATGGACTCTGGCTGCCTGAATTCTAAAACAATATGCCCTACAAGTCACTTACAAAGGAGTCAGAAGTTAAAGAGACAAAGAAAGAATTATAATGGCGATGAAATACAAATTTAAGGCACCAGTATCTTGGGCTGCATTTCTCAGTCATTCATTGGCCTTCCATGGTACTGTCGACAGTGTGAATTAATCCATGGTTATTTTCCCAGTAGAACAGTGAAAAGACTTATTTTAATGCCAGAAGACACTTCCTGAATGCTTATCAATACACTAAAAGCAATTGGATGAGAAGTGCTCAGCATGCCATGTCTAGAACACAGGCTCCCTAGGCTGTAGTCGAATTCAGACAGTGTCTGAAACCCAGAAAGCCAACTGTATCCTGCGCTACATCAAAAGCAGTGCGACCAGCAGGCTGAGGGAGATGACTGTCCTCTGCCCTTGTGAGACCTCACCTGCATCAGTGTCTGGTTCTGCCCCCCACACACACAAGAAAATACATGAAGGTGTTGAAGTGGGTCCAGAGCGGGGCAACAAAAATGATCAGAGAGAAGGAACACCTTTCCTACAAGAAAGGCTGAGAGAGTTGGGGTTGTTCAGCCTGGAGAAAATAAGGCTGCAGGGAGAACTCATGGCACCTTTCCAATAAAGGGGACTTTCAAGAAAGACAGACTTTTTTACCAAGGCCTACAGTGAAAGGAGAAGGGGCAGCAACAGTTTTAAGCTGAAAGAGTGTAGGCTTTCCTTTTTTAAATGAGGGTGGTAAGGCACTAGAACAGGTTGCTCAGAGAGATTGTATTCAAGATCAGGTTGGATGAGGCTTTCAGAAAGCTGCTTCTGCTTTCATGGAAGGTGTCCCTGTCTTTGGCAGGTGAGTTGGAACTAGATGATATTTAAAGGTCCCTTCTAACCCAAACTATTCTGTGATTCTATGATTTTATGACTATGAAGGAACTCTAAAGCTTTCTGATTTAATATTGAAGTTGCCTAAATTCCTTTTAAGCAGCTAACAGTAAATTCAGAGGAAGTATAGTAATAAAACACACCTCACACCTCTTAAAATGAAGGTGAAATTCCCTACAAAGCCCCTTAAAAGAACTAACTGCCCAATTACATGAAATTGCCCTAGGAGAAGTACAAATCTTAGCAGTCAGCTTTTACTAGCTGCATGGGAGGTTTTAATCATTTAAACCAGAAAGTACTGATTTCACCAATACTTTGATAGTCTTTGTGTCAAATACAACAGACTGCTCTAGAACCTCATTTTTGGACAACTCCTTGCTTGATGCGATTTTAGTCTACGAACTCCTATGTAAGCAATTTTTGTCTACCAACTCCTATGTAATCTCTAAGTTCTTAATGCAAAGCCTTCTACAACCTTCTCCTGACAGCGGTTCCTTCATTTTATAGTAGACCAGCAAAGTTGGCACCATATTACATTAGTATCTGTATGGTAGATATCTGCCTGTGTCCAGACTTGTCTGGAATCCCCCTGGTCTCTCAGCAGAGGTTTAGCTGCAGCCATACAGCTTCAGCCATCTCACAGTGTGAGTTAAGTTTGCTCATGTCTGCTGGCAAAAAAAAAGTGCATCTGTACATTAAGTGGAAACTGCTCAAATTCCTGAGGCTATCTTCCTTTTTTGTGTGTAATAAATTCTATTTCTCTTTGCTCTCTTCACTTGAAATAGTATTTTCATATGCATCGTTTCAGCAGAATTGACCTCTGCTATCCCAACAACACTCAAATTTTGCTTTAGAGGTTTGGGGTTTTTTGAGGGGAAGGGGGTGTTATTTGTTTGCTTTTAAATTTAGTGGCATGCACAGGTCCTGCAACTCTTAGCATGGTAGCTCTTATATTCTTGGTTAGCTACTACAAGTACAAGCAGTGTTTATACAGAGGCCATTAGTTTACATATATGTGATTTATAATATTTTATAAAAATTTATAAATTATTTATATATAAAATATATATAGTATATAAATATATAAAAATTTATAAAAATATATAATATTTTATAAAAATATTTTATTAAAAAAAGTCTTAAAATTATCAGAGGTTGATTATGCCAATTTAAGAAGGTTTTTAACTTTATAACCTCTAACTACTGGACAGAAGGGATAAACATTTACCTGGTTGCAATACTACCCAAAAATTGCTATGTTTAAAGGCAGTCCTGAGTAGTGGTTTAGTGTTCTAGCTGTGCTGGTCAATGGGTTTTTTTGGTCTGCTTTTATTTGATACACGAAGTGAAATGTCAAGGAAGTCCCTCTTCATCTATACCATGCAAATAAGTGTTCCAAAGAGAAGCAATATAAAAATCTCAAAAAATCCTTTAACTAATATCACACTATGATATCTAACCAGATGAAAGAAATAACTTAAAAAAGGCCAAATCTGAAGTGTACATTTTAAAACAGAGTTCCTGCATGTGTTTGACAAGAACAGCATGGCAACACAAGGCCTATCATACAGACAGAAGGAAGGAATAATACAATGCTTTGAAGTAGCTGATGTCTACGAAGTTGCCAAAGTGAATACTTCTTGTTTCCTTTATTATTTTGTGTTTTAAATGTTAGGCTAATGATATACTTCTTAATTATGTGGTTTTGTAAATATTTATGTGAATGAACTGACATGACATATTGTGAACCTGCGGGATGGTACATCCCAACATATTTTAAATAACTCAAGTAAATTGCAATGAAGGAGAGTGAGATATCTGAACATCATTCTCAATTCCACTACATGAATTCTACAGCATGAAGAAATGTTTAGAGAAACCCAGAATGAATTATTTGAAGGACAAGGAAAAAGCGAAAGTGGTAAATTTTTAGGAAAGTGTTCTAATGCAGAAATCCTGTAAGAACGTAGAACAGTCACTAAAATAATGGAAGATACATTGTACCAAACATTAAAAAAACCTCTCAAATTGCCAGAGAACTTGTTGGGATAAGAAACTATCCTCCACTGGCTCTGTAACAGAGGAATTAAATGACTGCATTAAGAAGTTCTTTCTATCTAGGACACTGAAAACTAAGTTCCACTGTTTGTTCATATATGGTAGAAAGACGTTCCCCAGACTTAAGCATAACTTCATATAAGCCTTGTTAAATTACTCAAAGTGCTGAAAACTCCTGAGAAGAACCAGATATTTGCAGCTGCTGCCAGTATGCCATAGCATACCATTCCACTGCAGTACTTGGCACTACAGCAGTAGCTCATTTAAAATTAATTTAGTTTTCATTAGTAATAGTCCAGGACGCATTTAGACCATAGGCCAGTGCTTTACATTTAAATCCTACGAGGCCTCGAATGTGCTAACAAAGAGGCACACCATAGTCTGGAATGTAAATGCACAGCACAATGCAAGCAAATATGCATAGTATATGGGGCCTCTGCCTTCAGTGCAGCAGATTATGTTTAGCCTCCTTAAAAGTCTTTCTCTGGTCACACACACACACCTGTGTTTGTTTCACACAATGGATGCCAGCAGATGGCTTTGTTCCTCGGAAACCCTGGATTTAAACACATGCACTTACTTTTGCCCTGAGAGCACAGGGTTCTGCAGCATACCCTCTACTGGGATCAGGAATCTGACTCCAGCTCTGGCAGCAAGGGATGGCCAACATCCCTTCTCCTCCCAGCATGGTAAAAGGAGACACCACTGGTACTAAGTATCCCTCTGTAAGGAAGCAGCTCCAGCTGCTTCCTTTGTCACCTTTGAATATCCTCTTCACCTCCCAGACCAGGTGAAAGGATCAGCATAGCCTTGCAGAGCTTTAGTGAAAGCACAGGGAGCAACTGGCTGACTTCAGCACCTGCCTCAGACAGCATGCTCTTCCAAACAATCCACCACTTTGCCTGGCCTGTGCCTAGAACCAGCCTCACAGTGGTCTTGTACCTCTGTGCAGGTTCCAAAAGCCAAAGAGAAAAATAATACTTAAACATGTAAAGACAATACAGAAAGCTGTAGGGATAGTGGCTATTTTGGAAATGTGGAAATGTATATTTTCTTCCTTCTTTTGTTGCTTCTAAATATCTGCCATATCTATCTACACCTTATCTATACCAACACTCCCACTGCTGTTATCACCAGTACGGCTGAACAACAATATGAGAGCTAAGAAAAATCACTACAGAAATAAACTCTGGCATACCCTTTCCACTCTATTTCCCTTCCTGGTCTGAGAGACATTGCTTTTTTGGTATGCCTATTTGCATAGGTCACAATGGTTTTCACAATGTTATTGGAATGATGCAAATTACCCCCCCCCAATTATGTTTTCTGAACATAACAGAAATAAAGTAAGTGAAATTATCACACAAACTATAGCTGTTTGCTTGTTGTTTGGTTGGGTTTTTTGTTTTGGTTTGGTTTGATTTTTGTGTGGTTGGTTTTGTCTTTTTCTAATGGAGGTGTGAAAACTGCTTGCCTGTGCATTTCTTTCGTACTGGTACCTGCAAACATAAATGCAGTGAAAAGGAAGGACCTTTGGTACAATCAGATGGCTAGTTGCTAGGGACTAAAGCTTCTCTAGCCTCTCCCATGATAAGGATGGTGAGAGAATCACTCGAAGATGCTGAATCTTCTTCCACTTGTCTACAGCACTACAGAGCACCCAACACTGCCTTGTTTTCTGACAGATGCCATCTAGCCAGTACATTCCACAGGTCTGTGGTATTATTACAATTGACACGACATGAAAACCAGCCTCAATCTCACTGAATACAAGAACCTTTTCTATAGTGCCCCACCACTTACTTTGTGTGTTAATTAGACAACCATTCTATAGCACACTATGGCCAACTGACTGACTCGAAAAAAGAGACAAAATACCACCCTGAAAGTAAACCAGTTTAGATTCCAACACCACACCTCAAAAAAACAATCAGATTTAAAAAAAAATACAAACCTTCTAGAGCATGCTCTCCATTGGGTCAGATGGCTTCCCTGCATCCCAACCCATACATGCATAGTATGCGTATATGCATATGTGTACATATACAAAATATCTCAAAAATAGGTGAAGACATTAAGAAACATTCTATTATTTGTTATTTGCCTTCACTTACCCACCTGTTACTTTGAGAACTCAAACTACAAGCTGTCTCCAATGAGATAACCCTGTTCAAATATTGTGAAAAGATCTATTTCTGAATTCTATTGCCTAAAGAAATGTTGGCATTTACAAAGACCAAGGGGGAGGAAACAAAAGGAAATAAAATTGCATCAGTTCTGCTGGAAATTTGTGCAATTAGTTTAGTAACTGGACCACAAGGACAGACTCCTTCTTGCTTGCAGTTACAGTCAAGGACAGAATTAAAAAGAAGTTTTGAAATGCAGATTGCTGTTCTGATTTAGTGACAGACTGCTCATATAAACTGAAGGATCCCCAGTTGTCTTCTCAATCACAAATAAATATTGTATCCCTCATAGAGCATCTTGGAGCAATATTTCAAAAGCAAGAGACAAGCTCTGAGTTGCATAGATGATTCAGAGTAGTGAGTGAGGAATGTAAACTCCATTTTGCAAAACACTTGGTTTACTAAGCCCTCTATTACCCCACAAGACATGTCAGGTTCTGCCTTTAACAGGGGTTCTTTACCTTGTTTATAGGAGTTATGTTTAAATAATGCCTGAAGTGCTTATATGTTAACAGGCTTGCTGGGCAGGTCATGTAGGACTGATGTCTCTTCTCACTTCCAGCCTGCCTTGGAGTCAGGCAAAAGCTGTGGAAACTCAGGACTGCTTTTCTTCTGCCAGACTAATGTATTAACTTTGCTAGGAGGTGCCTCTGAAGAAAACTGGTATACTTTAAAAAAAAAACTGACTAACAAATTCACCAAACATTTGGCAATTACTTCTGAAGCACAGTGGAAAGATGGATAGTACTTGGATAGAGAAGAAAGTGGAAATACGAGCAAACTATTCCACCTTTAAGAAACCACACAAAAAAATGGTAAAAAACACCGAACCTTCTGGCATAGGAAATCCCGGCCTATTCAGAATAATCTAAGACTGTGGTGGGAGACAGTCAGTAAAACTCTTTAATAGAATAGCTTTCTAAGCAACTTAGGAAATATCTTTTTTCACAGACCTCCCTCCCCAGATTCTCCTGGCAAAATACCAACACAGGTAACCATGTTCCTCCAACCTGAAATGTGTTTGCAATTGTCTGACTGGTGTGATCCTTCACTATTTTCTTCATGTTTTGTGCACTAATGTTGCTAACCATTAGATAGCTACTACCTGGTGCACATGTACTTAAGCAAAATAATCAATTTTAGAGCTATTGTTAAGGACGCAACTCTCCAAAAAGATATATGTCTGCAAAAAGCTCACTATTTACAAATAACTGATACAATTTAAAGGAGTTGTATCATAAATATTTATAGCAACACAATGTCTGAATTCAACTGGAAGACAGAAATCAGTTAGAGAAATATTTTTGTTTAAAATACCAACCAATGGTACAGGACATTACATTACCCTGTCTAGTCTGTACACTATTTTAAGTGAAAGACCACATTCCACCCTCTCAGATCATAGACCCTAAGGCACTCCTATTTTAGCTAGAACATAAGAACAAGGAGTTTTCCATTGAAGTAAAAGCCTTCCAAAGTCTTAACATCCCTACAGCAAGACTCTGTAAGAAGGAAGCACAGCGACATCTCTGTATGACAATTATTCTAAACAGCAGGAGGAGATTTAAGAAAATACATTTCATCACATTCTAAACAGGCACAGCCCTTCAAGAAGAGCTGAATGAAGAAAATAATAGCTCCAATAAGCCTGTCACAGGTGATTTGGATGGCTAATGAGTTATTTGCCACAGAAGAGGAATCTTTAGGTCTTACAAAACAAAGCTCATGAGTTTTGCTAAAATGTTTCAAAAAGAGAACTGCTCAAGTTACAAGACACTAAGACATACATCCTCCTGCTACAGGATCTTCTCATCCATTAAGCAACCACTGAGGGCAACTGATATTTAGTAATTCATTTTGTAACTGAAATGTTGCAAGTGAACTGATACCCTTCCTCAAGTTTCAAGAACCAGAAACAAAAAAGCTGAACAAAACACATATGACATTGTTTTGTGGTAAATCACACATTAAATTGTAAATTGGCTTGATTAAAATGTATCAGCTATTTGTAAATTGCAACTTCTTTTTGCAAGCATATATCTTTTTCACGGAGCTTAATAACAACTCTGAAATGGATTGCTTTGCCTAAGTAGAGGTGCAACAAGTACCAGGTATCACTCTGTGCCAAAGTCCCAGATAAAAAGTTTGTAATTTGCAGCTGTCTGGGAAAAAGTTTTCAAGAGCATCACAGCTATATAAACACAGAATCTCAAATCCAGAATTTACAAAGGAAGTCCAGACAAGTACAGTGACATGGATAAAATGTAGTTCTACAGTCCACACAATAATCCTTAAATACAGTAAAACAGTGAAGGCCAAGCTACTGGTATATTTAGCAAAACCATCTTAAGGACTTCTAGACTGCACTATGAAATGTTGGCTAAAGAAACAAAACCCTCAAAATTAGAACAGCACTTTCCTCAAACCCCTACCATTTACCAAATCTTTTAGAGGCTAGTCATCCTCTCAGCTGTGGATTACACAGCTGTGATTACCAACCTTGAAAACGAAACAAAGTATTTTCATTTTACCTCTAACCCAGCTTGTGTGTCCCATTAAAACACTCAAGACCACAGGATGGCACTCAGTTGTACTTAATACCACTAAAACGTACAGTTTAAACTGCCAGAGCCATTAAAAATAGAAATACTAGTATATTTTCAAAAGTCTTGACTCTTTCAATTAAGATTTAACACCCTTCTAAAAGTGCAGTGATTTGTTTCAACAGAAGAGAGATGCTGACATTGTATGGCTTAGAGTGTTATACTGCCAAACTCTGCTAGACCATATCGAATTAGGCACTGACCCATTGTGGCATCAACAACACTACTGTTACATCCCCCACACATTGCTGCTTTGCTTTACTCCAACACCTCTCTCCTGTACTTTCTTACAGGTCTATGTTAGTGCTATTTGCTTTGCATGTCTGCCCCAGCATGGGAATGGGTCAGAAGTGAGTCAAAAGAGTCTCCTCCACCCAGAAAGTAAAAAAGCATAACTCCTTTGCACTGGAAATCCTGGGAGAATTTTGATGTAAGAGGAAAGAGGAGGGAAGGAAGGCCAATGCACTGGAGCTATAAGGAGAACGCTGTGAATATTTTACGCTGCAAGTTTCATTATGCAATGAATGATGATCACATAACAAGGAAAATAAATAGAAAATCATTAGGATAAAACATTCAAATGACATTGGTCGCTGTTATCCAGAGGCTGGATTAGGCATTTGTAAAGTTTCCCTTATCCAACTTTCATCAGAATTACTCTAGATTCACAGAGTGAGTGAGAACAGCAATTTTTTTACAAAAAAATAATCTAGTATTTATCAGGCACCTGGCCCTCTGCCCCACTCCTTCCCCAAATTCTAAACCAACAAAACTTACCTGCTTCTGGATCTGGAGGAATCCTCCACATATACAAATTGAAGTCATCAGAGCCCGAAAGGATGTACTGTTAGAAATAAAAACAAAAGTAGCTTACTACAAAGTATCACCTGAATTATGTTATTTTACTATTGATCTAGTTTCTCCAAACCAAAAATGAGAAAGAAAGGATAATTTGCATCATTCTTTTCACATTGCTGATTGACTTACCTTTAAATGGCAGTGAGGTACCAGCACAAAAATGTTGCAGGCATATAAATGGATCAAAATTCAAAGGCATACTTCACTAATGCCTACTGACCAAAGTGTATGTTTGCTTTGCTAAATAAGGCTATGAATTTTGGTTGGCTTTAATACAAGCATGTCTAAATCACACTCTCTATCTTGCAGCCTGCAACTCTGGTCTTTTTTTAATGTTAAAGTATTTAATCCTTTTTTCTCATCTCCCAAACTGCCAAGGAAAATGCCATGAAACATAAACCTAAGAAGAGAGCATGTCCATTACATACAAGCACAACATGTCTGGCTCATCAACCCAGACCACCAAAAGTGAGTCACTGAGGATAATCTTGAATACCAAACAAAACCAAAGCTACTGTCAGCAAGCCTCAAGTGATTTAACCACACCCCCCCTCACATTTATCACACTATTAATTTTTTTCCTGGTCATAGTTGCTCTGAAGAGATGGAAGGCTGCCCTTTTCAACAGTACATGAATGATAAGCAATCTCTTTATTGTGCAGAACTTCAGGCAATATGCAATTTTATGTAGCTTAATATACTACAAACATGCAATGGAATGACAAGTGACATTTAACACGGGGAAAAAGCTTATGTTTTTCAGTTCTGAGAGGCCACAAACTGTGCCCTGTCTACAAATACTTACCCTCCAATAAATGACAGGGGTACAGTTTATTTTTCTCCCAAATTAGAGATGAGATGACATGGTAGAACCAAAAGCAGATTCCAGTTCCAGTTATACTGGTGTAGACAGAGTAAATCTTTAGCTTTCATCTGACTTCAGGCTGCTGCTTAATCAATACAGTCAAGAAGCTGGGTTTTTCATATTATTATTGTTATTAGGTTAGAGGGAAGGGAGAAAAAGAAAGACATGGCACAGGTTTGTCCCTTTTCTAACCTTTGATATGAAACAAATTCTGTTTTGCTTGGCAAAAATATAACTGGTTTCTGCCTTTCATTCACCAGGGATACATAAAATCATCAGGCAAACTAACATCAAGAAATGAGGAGACAAGTCCTGGAACAGCACAGGACTGAGAAGGAAAAAATATACACTAACACTGAGAAAATGGCTATAAGTTTGCCTATATTCTGTTTGCAATACTAATTACATTAGTGCAGTGTTTGGATGTTTTCAGTCACAGAAATGCAATAACCAACAATTAAAACCCCTTCTCTGGTTTCCTACTACCACAATCCAACCATTCTTTTTTCTCTCATTTTTAAGGACGCAGGATGTGAGTAAGCTCTTATGAATGCAATTCTGCTCATTTTCTGACAGGTAAGAGGCACTGATCAAACAAAAGGCCCTTTAAAAGCTTGTGCACACTAGTTCAGCATCACTCATAAACCCATACTTTCCAAGCCAGAAAGTTATTTCTACAAGTTCAAACATTTAGGCAATTCACCTTGCCAAACTGACCTGACAGTGCCAGGAATATGTGCTTCCCCTTTCATTTGACTGCTCATAAACGTTAGCCCACAGCAGCCTGAGTCACTGTGCCAAAACTCCACAGATTAGGGCTCCTACAGGAAAGCTCCCAGCAACTAGACAGAAAACACCTCTAATGCGCTTTGTTAGAGAAGAAATGGTACATGGAAGAAAAAGTCTCGTCTATATAGAGATGTTGCCAATTGTTACTATTTATTACCAAGTTGTGTTGCTGAAGTAGCAACTAGTTTGCCAAGGACATATGATGAAAAACAGAGACTTCTAGCTAAAACACCTAGAAAGCTCAGTATCTTGGATTTACTACGATGGCACCTTTTCCCCGTAACCCCCGCCCCGCCCCAAACCGAACAAGTTCAAACAACTCCTCAATATGAGAGTCATTTACCACTCTGCTTCATAAACCAAACAAACCAACAATGACAGGGCCACAAAGTGACACATTTCAGATATCCTGCACCAGGCACACAACACAGAAAAAGCACATTATGCACATGCAGGGAAGGGAGTTGTCTGTGAGATTCTTCAAATCTGCTTCCAAAATTATTTGCAGAGGACACTGTGTATCTTGTAAGACTCAAGGATCAATTGTGTAGGAAATCTGGTGTATCACTGGCCAGTGAACAAGAACATACTAGCTGAAAAGACAACTGATCCCAGTATATTTTGCCTTGCTTTGGAGATGGCAAAATTTAAAGTGCCTTTGCAGTGATCTGGACTAACAGCAATTTGATGCACTATCAAAAATGTAAACAGGAGGCCAAGACAAGCGATTATTCCCCTCACCTGGCACTTCTGAAGCCACAGCTGAGTGTCTGGCTTGGGACTCTCACTACAAGAGTGACACTAACAAATCAGAAAGTGGACAAGAGGGCTGCTGCAGCTGAAGGCACGTGGAAGGAAAACCTATGAGGAACTGGTCTTTTTTAGCCAGAAGAAGAGAAAGGAAAGGACAGAGTGGACCTCAACAGTTTCTCTCTTGGAAGGAATACTGAGCAGCCAGGGACAGACTCTTCTTACAGGCACGCAGTGAACACTCAGGAAGAAAGAGTCACAAGTCACAGCAAGGGAAATTCCAGCTAAGCACAAAGGAACAGCATGATCAGGAGGAGTATAACAAACACTGCAACTTGGCCCCAGGAAGGTGGTGGAATCTTTACTCTTGCAAATCCAGAAGTTACCTGAACAACTCCCTGAGCAACCTGATCTAACTTCGAAGATGCTCTCCAGTACTCAGGTGATCTCCAGAGCTCTCTTCGGACTCTTTTTTTTCAAAGATTGTTGGAGTAAAAAGGGGAATTAATTGTCTTGGCGGATTGAAGTTGGGTTTTGGGTTACGGGGGGAGAGGAAGGAGGAAGGGAGAAGTGGGCAGTGACAGGAAAATGCCCACCTGAAACCTTTACACTCCATCAGACATCACAGCTTCATGAAAGCACCAATGGAAACACAAACTCAGGCCACAGAGACAGGGGCAAAAAATGCAGTCCAGCACAGAACTTGCATAAACTAAAGTGATCACAATCTGGGGAATTCAAATAAAATAGTTCACAAAATCATAGAATGGCTGAGGTTGGAAAGGACCTTTGGAGGTCATCTAGTCCAATCCCTCTGCTCAAGCAGGCCTGCCTAGAGCTGATTTCCCAGGACCGTGTCCAGATGGCTCTTGAGTATCTCCCATGGCAGAGATATTCAATCCAACTATCTCAAATTGAGCTAGTTCATACCTACTTAAAAGGACCATGAAGTCCTTCACTTCATTATCATTTCCAAGTCTAATGACATTTGCATTAATCTTGACGCTGAGACACCAATCAGTTTGTGTGAAAAGCTTCAATTGATAAAGTCCCCTACACAAGTTTGGTGTAAGCAATGGGTTGCAAGTTGCAAACTTTTTATATATACTTAAATTTTATTTTGATGTTAGCTCTGTCAATAATTACCAGAAATTGATCATATTCCACAAAATATCCAACAATTTTGTATCCCTGTGATACCGCTGCCATGACAGTAGCAGCCAGCATTGTCTTCTGCTCTCTTTCCCTGTTAGGATACCTCTAGGGTACATGTTTTTCTGAATCCCCAAATGCATTCCTTTTCTGGTGGTCCTTTTCTACAAGACTAAGGTATGTGGGTCTGAAAAGTAGAAAGTGGTTTTTTGGATCAAGACCAAGAGACTGCCAGAAGACCAACCTCATGACTGCAGCTACTGCAAGAACAATTTGCCACAAGAAGCTTCAAGAGCAGACACCTAAGCTGCTAAATTCAAAACCATGCCTCTTCCATGACATTTGAAAAAGAAACTCAATTCCAATTAGTACTCTCTGCACAAGACAATTGGAACCTAAGGCCTCTGGAAAGCACAGTCGGGCTGATGTTACTAGGACATTTACATGACCATCTGTGAAATTTTTTCTTTGATGCATTTATTATTAATATAACAATAAGCCAATAGTTCTCCTCACTAGTTCAACGTTGGAGAATAAGGATTAAAGACACAAAAAGTCCGTCCCTAGCACTAGAAAAATCAAAAGAAATAATTACTATGAAGTACACCAAACCATAGTTAATAAGGCTGAAATCCTGAGAGAATGGAGTAGACTTTTTAAAGGAAGGAACAGAAAGAAAAGAAAAAGAAAGGGTTGGGGTGGGATAGATGAAAGAATGTCATACTGCATATGGTTAGACTCCACCTTAATTGTGAACAATAATTTTTGGTCCTGAGGGGATGTTGAAAACATAATTCATAGCAGACTACTTTCAATTCCCTCACTTTCAGAACAAAAGCCCAGATAATTAAATCACAGAGGCAAGCCAGGGGGAGACAAAAACATGTGCATTCACAGATACACCTAAATGGCTGAGACAGCAAGCACTCTCCTCCTTCCACCCTTCCTCCCAAAAATCAGACCAGACACTGCACAAGGAGCTCAAATGTCTCAAGGAGACAAAACCAACATTAAACCCAGGTGTTTCACTGTCAGCATTTTTGCTGCTGTATCTGACCAGGACTTTGGAAATCAACATTTACAATATTCATATGGACATGAGAACAGACAGAAAAAACACTTGCTGTTAATATTGGAGTTTTTTTAGAAGGGTAGAATCAGCTTCTATGTCTAGCTGTTAGCAACAATGACAGGAAAAGGTTTCCAGATGACTATGAGCTGCTGATTCAGAAGTTTGCCTTAGAAGGAAGAAAACTCTCAGGCGTGGTTAGAATCTGCTGCTGGGAGAAAACACGAATTAAGTCTGAGTTTCAAGTACGCATGAAATGCTCAAAATGAACTACCATCAGGAATCTGGGAGAATTACATTGGACTAGCGCTCCCCAGTCATTACACTGTAACTTTTCTCATTTTTTCTCTCCCCAAGGAAA